CCCGGGACTCTGGCACCAGTGGCTACCTCCCCTAGTCCAGCTTCCAATCTCCCACCATCCTCTGCATCCACAGCACCGTCCCAGGCTGAGCCAGCCTGCCCACCCCGGCAAACCTGTGGTGGTGGGGGGTCCCATGGGCCAGGCTGGCAAGCAGCGATGGCCTCCACAGCCATCATGGTACCCGTGGGGCTCGTGTTTGTGGCCTTTGCCCTGCATTTCTACCGCTCCTTGGTGGCACACAAGACTGACCGCTATAAGCAGGAACTAGAGGAACTGAATCGCCTGCAGGGGGAGCTGCAGGCTGTGTGAGGCTGGTGTTAGCCACTGCTGCAAGCACTGCCTCCCTCCCGGGTCTGCAAGAGGCCTCAGGGGCCTACAGACCTCATTCCCCCCATCCCCTGGCTGGAGCCACTTGCAGTGGCCACTCTCAGGCAGAGGTCAGATTCTTGCCTGCAGGGTCCTCAGGGCTGGGCCTTGGGGCAGCTCCCACATTCCCAGGGATTTTCCCCATCAGTCTGTCCCTTGGGTTTTGCAAGCTACTCTGCACCTGGGCTGGCCTCAGTTGAAGGATCATGCCTTAGATATAGGGGAGGCAGGGAGAGCTTGTGGGACCTTCGGTGCTGACCTTAGCCACCATTTCCATTCCTATACAGGATGGGAAGATCACAAGGCAGCCAACCCTTGGTTTAATTTTTTTTTTTTTTTTTTTGAGACAGAGTCTCTCTCTGTTGCCCAGGCTGGAGTGTGGTGATATAGTCACAGCTCACTGTAGCCTCGACCTTCCAGGCTCAAAAGATTCTCCCACCACAGCCTCCCAGGTAGTAAGTAGCTGGTACTACAGGTGTGCACTGCCACAGCCGACTAATTTTTTTGTATTTTTTGTAGAGACGGGGTTTCACCATGTTCCCAGGCTGGTCTCAAACTCCTGGGCTCAAGTGAACCTCCTGCCTCGGCCTCCCAAAGTGCTGGGATTCCTTGCTTTATTTCTGTAGAATCTATTTTATGGTTGGCATTTTGGGGGAAGATTTTGATGGGTTCCACATTCTTGCTTTAGTTGTTGTAGAGGGATTTGGGTGTTTCTACCCCAGGCATTGGTCTAGCTTTTCCTACAATGAACCTATCTTTGGAGGTTGGAGCTCCCCACCTTCCCCCACCGTGGTGACCTATGGCCACTCGCAGGAGGGATGGTGCCTGACCCACTGCCCTAGCACCACGCTATGCACCAAACTTGTTCTCCCCTCCGGGCCAGGGCTGGGATCTTTAGAGACTGACAGCCTCTGCCCCGGGCCTGAGTCCTTAGCAAGGGTTAGGTGAGGAGGTTTTAAGGGAGAAGGTCCAGTCCTTAGCCCTTGGAATACAAAGCTTTTCTGACACTGAATTTGGATGCACCTTGTTTTATATAATAAATCATGTTTCACAGATGTCTCTGTTGCTGTGAACGGGATGCAGGGCAGGCCTTCTTAGGATAACTTTACTTGTTCCCAAGAGCTGGGTGGTGACAAGTTTGGGTGGACAGGACCTGGGAGGGGAGTGGGTTTCAGGTGTAACCCTGTCAGATGCTAACAAGAGCCAACAGCTTCTGAATGGGGAGAGTTATTCCAAGGCTATAGGCTTTGAACTCTTGTCTCTGAGTTCAGAGTCTCTATCTCTTCCACTGAGTTTTATTTATTTATTTATATATTTATTTATTTATTTATTTAGAGATGGAGTCTTGTGTTGCCCAGGCTGGAGTGCAGTGGTGCGATCTCGGCTCACTGTAACCTCTGTCTCCCGGGTTCAAGCAATTCTCCTGCCTCAGCCGAGAAACCTGAGTAGCCGGGATTACAGGTGTGTGCCATCACACATGGCTAATTTTTATATTTTTAGTAGAGACGGGGTTTCGCCATGTTGGCCAATCTGGTCTCAAACTCCTGACCTCAGGTGATCCACCTGCCTTGGCCTCCCAAAGTGCTGGGATTACAGGTGAGAGCCATCACGCCCGGCCCTCCCTGAGTATTTAGTATAGGTTTTTCTTTCTTTTTGAGACAGTCTTACTTTTTTTTTTTCTTTTTTTTGAGACAGAGTCTCACTCTGTCTCGCACTGTCGCCCAGGCTGGAGTGCAGTGGCATGATCTCAGCTCACTGCAAGCACCACCTCCCGGGTTCACGCCATTCTCCTGCCTCAGCCTCCTGAGTAGCTGGGACTACAGGTGCCCGCCACCATGCCCAGCTAATTTTTTTGTATTTTTAGTAGAGACGGTGTTTCACCGTGTTAGCCAGGATGGTCTCAATCTCCTGACCTAGTGATCCACCTGCCTTAGCCTCCTAAAGTACTGGGATTACAGGCATGAGCCATCGCACCGGGCCGGAGTGCAGCTGTGCAATCTCGGCTCACTGCAGCCTTGAGCTCCCAGGCTCATGAGCCTACCGCCTCAGCCTCCCAAATAGCTGGTACCACAGGCATGTGCCACCAACCCAGCTAATTAATTTTTTTTTTTTTTTTTTTTAGAGAGAAGGGTCTCACTATGTTGTCTAGGCTGGTCTTGAACTCTTGGGCTCAAGTCATCCTCCCACCTTGGCATCCCAAAGTGCTGAGATTACAAGTGTTAGCCACTGCACCTGGCCTCAAGTTTCTTTCTTGAGCAACTACCACATACTAGGGGCCTTTCATAGGTTATCTTATTTAACTCCCCCAACACCTCAAGCGTTAAGCCTTTATCATTTTCATTTCAGAGATAAGGAAACAGGCCCAAGAAGGCTGCAGATCTTGCCCAAAACCACACAGTTAGTCCATGAAACTGAACTTGGACTGTCTTTACCCCTTACATGGGAATCTCTCTTTGATTTGAGAAAAGGAACCAGTGCCTTTCAACTAGAACAGAAAGGAATCTGATCTCAACACCTATGCCTCCACGTAAATTAATTTTTTCAGGCTTATTTCCCTCAAAATGTTAGTCCTAACCTTCTATCTTGTGGTGTGAGACCTTGGATAAGTCTCCCTTCCACCTTTTCCTATTACTTAAATGGTGAATTTGCATAAACCAGGCTCTAAGGGTCTTTTCTGCACTGTTTGGCTGTCTACAAATTGACATCCGAGTTTAAAGGAAGACTCCGGAACTTAGAAAGGTCAATGGCTTGCCCAAGGTCATATAGCGAGGGCCTGATGTACACATGTCAGGAGCCTGGGGCATCCTCAGCTCAGGAAAAGGGGCCTCCTGGGAGTGCCGGCGTCCACACGGGATCAAAAGGGTGCTCTCAGCCTTAAGAAGACCTCAGCCCGAGTTTTAGGTGTAGGCCTGGGCCGCTGCTGCCCTCGTGCGGAGGGATCCCGTGAGCATACGGCGCCATAGCCAAAGAAGCGGGCACTGGGACCATGACGCCAGGAGGACACCAGTCCAGTCCCGTTCCTGTAGGACCTCGTTTATTATTACAGGGCCCATTTAAGGGCACTTAGGCCCCACTAGGCTCATCAGAAAACCTTGAAGCAGTCCCTGGATTTAACCACTAATGGTGGGTTTGAGTACGGCAAAGCACCTTCTACAGGCCTCTCGCTCCCCATCTGGCAAATGGGCATCCTAAGCAGCCAGACACCCAAGGACGGTAACGGGAAGGAAAGGCACCCTGCATTTATGTGCGAGGCGGGGCAAACCGCCTGAGTCACTGCTCACGGTTGTGTTTTTCCACCTCCCGGCCGCCCCTCCCATCCGGATGAGTCCTAGTGGGTCCTCCTGGAGGCGCCCCCTAGTCCCTTGCTCCGCACGCCCTGACCACGCCCCTTGACTCGGCCCCGCCCACAGCGGAATCCGCAGATTCGCCAGGCCGGATCCTCAGAATTCCTCGGGTCCCTCGATACTCGGCTGAAAATTATCATCGGACTCTGACAGGAGCTCTGGGCTGGAGGCATTTTCCCCAGGGTCAGAAGCGGGCTATCCTCTCACTGGGGCCAGTAAGAAAAATCCAGAAAAAGTTGTCGATTCTGCCAGCAGGGATTGGCTAACGGGCCGTTATTTTCTTGATTCCAGCAAGGCGGATGAAGGGGAGGCTGCGGCTGAGGCCGGGAACAGTGGCGAATCTGCAGCCTCTCAGACTTTGGCCGTGCAAGGAAGGGACGGGGAAGAGGAGCAAAGCGGCGCGCATCCTGTCCAGGGATTCGCCCCGCCCGCCCGGCGAATCTGCGTCTCCCGAACGCGCCACTGAAGCTTCCCCAGCGCTGGCTGGCCTCCTCCCCTCTGCCCCGCCCCTTTTCCTCAGGGACTAGTCGCAGCTTTCGTCGCCGCCGATTCGTCAAGCGTCCCGGGCCGCAGCATCTGGATCGTCGTGGCGAAGCCGACTCTCCGGGGGATGCGGCCAATCTCCAGGCTCCCTGGGCCGCAACTCCCGAGCCTCCCCGGGCGCCGGCCGAG